AGTTGAAACTTTTGTCACTGAAGTGTGATCACTCCTGATTTTAATTAAGGCTGCTGAGGAAAGCTTTGTACAGATTTTACAGTACAGGTAGTCCCCAGTTTAAGAACAAGTTCTGTTCCCAAGATCTGTCCTTAAGTCAAATTTGTAATTTGTATGTAAGCTGGAACAATATTGTTGTATAATACTGTATAAATAGTGTTGTGAAATTAACTCAAACTATTGTGTATTTAAGTTGAATCATCGTGTATTTAACTCAAATTTTGCTATGATAAGTTCCATACTTAACTATGGGGGCTACCTATACTGAATGCCATCAATATCCTGATTACTTTTATCTAAATATCTGGATTTTAGAGACAAAATGTTTAAAAGACTTAAGAAAGAGTAAGAATTACTTTTTTCTAGGTTTCTCCTCTGTCTTTGATATAATTCTTAGGGCTACAAAGAAACCACTGTGCCTAGAAATACTTCCCATGTTTTTAATCCTTTCCTGGACTGTGTTCCTATGTTTAAAAGTCCATTATATATCCTCTTTTTCTTTCAGAGTGACATGTCTGCCCTGGCAACATCGGGTCTGTTCTTCAAGGATGGCAAAAAACGTATTGATTACATTTTAGTCTACAAAAAGTCCAGTCCTCAAATTGAGAAAAGAAGCACCTTTGAAAAGAATTTACGCGCAGAAGGATTAATGTTAGAAAGAGAGGTTGGTAGCATTTTCTACCTCCTCAAAATGGCTACTACTGTAACGAAAATCCATTAGATGATCTGCATTTTACTAAAGCGATTACAGGATTAACTCAGCATTTCCTTCAAAAAAATGCTAGAAGACCTTGGAGAGTAGAAGGGAGGGAGGGTTAGGAGAACAGTGGCTAGTTGAAAGCTAGATTGTGTAAAAAGTAGGGAAGGGAAAGGAAAAATAGCAAGTATATCTAAAACAAAAGAAAAGAGAGAAACTAGCAGTTCATGTGAAAAGCAAAAAAATAATTCTGTAAATAAGTACGGAGGAGTTTTGTTGATGGGTTTCTTTAAAGAGAAACAATTTAGGTCCTGTACTATCTGATCATGCAGTGTTCTTCTCACTGTTCATAATCAACCAGACCTCTGAGTAAGCGAGAGACAATTTATAACTCCCTCTCCCATCTAAGATGCAGGGCTTCAAGGAAAAGGACATTTTGGGCTGGTGGCATTGAGATTTTAAAGTATGATTATTTATCCCCTAAATAAACTTAGGAAAAAATGATGGCACTTCTCACCAAATAAATTCAGCTTCATCGTAAGTACAACAGAACAGTGATAAAGCAGAGGGAAGAAAATGACAGATTATCCATTGCTTTTACAGCACAGGATGAAAATGGGGGGGGGGGGGAGGGCGATTTTGAATTCAATTGGGAGGGGCTAATGGCTTCACCTCAACTTGTGAGGGTAGCATGAACTGGAAGCTTCTCCAGCAAAGCCAGAATGTTTCTTTCCTCAAAAAGTCTGATTTGGGGCAGAAAGAATACCTGTAATATTAGATGATATGTGCAGTTTTCCTGGGCATATGTGAGTTCCCAGGACAGATGTCTTCCTGCCACAGGCTCACCAACTCTTCCCTCTTAACACCCTCGTCTGAAGGATTAGGTTGCTCTGTAATTTATTAAGAATAGCCAAAAAATATCTTACTTATGACTTTGTGGGGTAACGTCCATGAAAGTTCTGAAAGTTGGTGATAACTCTGTTCTCTGATAAGTTGGAACTTTATCTAGATTAGAGGCAAGCTTCAAGCCTCTTTTTTTTTTTTTTTTTGGGCCAAAGAAGAGTATATTTGTAGTTCCCTTAGAAATACCATTGACTTCAACAAATCCAAGTGCACAGTTAAAAAAAAAAAGACTATACTTAAATACCATACACCCATATCACTAGATATAGTCATTTTTTCCCACAGCTGAACTGTGTTCAGAAAGTGTTGTGATCTTTGAAGACTGGGTTAGTTCAGACTCTGGTTTTCTTTTCCCCCCCATCAGATATAGATACCATTCTACACTTAATTCCATCTCTAATGAATGGAAAAAACACCCCTGACTGAAAGCTGAAGTTAGAGCCCAAAGCTAAATCTGAAGTTTTTTAGGGGAAAAGAAAGAGAATGCCACCTAGATCTGAAAGATTTGTGCCTGTTAATTTGTTTCTTTTTTGCAGCCAGCTGTTACAAACAATGACATTATGTTTGTAAAAATTCATTGTCCTTGGGACACACTCTGCAAATATGCTGAAAGAATGAACATTAGGATGCCTTTCAGGTAACAGAATACAATACTTAATTTTGTCTCTGGTTAAATTAAGAATTTGTCTGACAAAAACTATTTTATATAGGTTGACCGTTACATTTTATACCCACAATGTGGGTAGTTTCCAAATTATGAATGGTGAAGTATCAAGCAGATTAATTTACAGCAAGCATAGTGTTTATTAATGCTGCTCTGTAGGAGGGGTAGTCTTGCTTCAAGGATCCTTGTGTTGATCCAGTCACCTGGAATGGGATCTTTTCTGGGAACGTTTTAATGCAGGAAAGAAGCATGATTCCTGAGACAGCATTCCAGGGGTCAGAGGACTGGACATGGCTAGGAGAGGCAGGAGGTCTTCAGGAACCGACCCTCTCTATATTTCAACCCCACAGTGCAGAACTACCCAAGTTAGTTACTCCATTTTCCTTCCTACCGCTTAGTCCAGGAAGGGGACAGACAAATGCAAACTTACCTCCATTTTCAGTTTTGCACTTTTGTTACAGCTAGGAAAGAAATCAGATATTAGAGCGTGCCAAAGCTTTCTGTTAGAATTGCTCAGCCAACCCATTGTCGATTCCACAAGCAACAGATAAAGCAGAAGCCAAAGTGAGTCTTTCTATGCATTGCTGTCACTTTCAAAGCCTGTGCAATGTAATTTGTGTCCCCCCCTTTGGATATGATGAATTTGTACCACCTGATGAGTGGGTTTGGCTCATTTGCGTGTGTACAGTGAGCACATTGAAAGCTGTCTTAAGGCACAAGCTTCTGAAACTTTGAAATAATCAAAGCAGCTGTAATTGGTTCCCTGATTTAATGCAAATTAATTCCAATGGAGGATAAGTACATCTGCTGGCTCAAGGGCATTGACTGCAGCCTGCAGTTATTTACTCCAGAGAAGAGGTCTTGAACTTAGTGAGGCTCTTCCAGAAATAAGTAGATTGTGGATTCTATCAATTGCCAGAAAACGAGCCATTGGCTTTAAGAAAAAAACACAAATCAATTTCATGGAATTATTAGATTGTTCTTTAGCAATGCTATAAACAATCCAGCATTTTCCTCATATTAACTTCAGCCAGGAAAAAATAGTAAAAAAAAAAAAAAAAGCAAGGAAGGAAGGATTAATAGCAGCTAACATTTTTAGCAGTTTTCCTATTTTCCTTAACAAAGAATTTTGCACAGTGTTATTCCTTGCATAATGAAAGCATAAATATAACATTTAGATAACAAATCCTTTAGATTTTAAGATTTAAAAACTGATGGGATCTTCAGCAGAGTCTGCTGCAATCTCTACACATTGGTATCCTTCTGCCACTTCTTAGGTCTACAATAAAACGGATAGAGTCAGTGTGGTGCTGTATTTAAGATGATGGATTTAGGATTCAAGTCCATCCTTAACCATGAAAGCTCACTGACTGAGTCTGCCACTGTCTCTCAGCCCAAGCAACTTCACAGGGTTGCTGTTATGGGGAGTTTTCAGCCCCTGGAGGAATTGTAGAATATAAATCTAATGATAAATGATCCTGTTATGATGGAATCAAGGCCTTACATTAGGTTTGAGGGTTTCCTGGGCAAAGTAATGTTGCCTAATGGTCCAGCACTTACCCACATACTTCTGGCTCATGTATCTCTCTCCCGGTCTTGCCCAGGTTGTTCGTACTTGGCAAGCTTTCCAAGTAGTAGGGAAAGGCCACTGTGCAGCTCCAATCTTCCTTCTTCCAGTGTGTAATGTTTAGAAAGGGGTAGGTTGGGATAATGAAGTTATGCTGAATCTGGATGGAATCCTGAGATTGACGAAATGGTCCCTCTTCCCTTTAAAAATGCCCAGCTGAGTGGAGAAGTTTCATGCCAAGGGATAATTTCTAATTCTCTGTCCCTGACTTAATGACATTATTTTGAGGATGGGACCCCTTTGGGCATTGGTGTAAAATTACTGCTGCAGGCATCAGGCTAACAATTGTCTCATCAGCGCTGTCTGTAATTTTGATTCAAAACAAATTAAAGATACTTTAACAACCTTGCATCAATCATTAAAGGCCACTCAGATCTATATACCCAGACATGATCATTTTGGGTACTGATCCTGGGCCAAGTATTTAAAGATTCCCAGCATGTTGCAATCTTTCTTTCTAAACAACTTCTTTGAACAACACTGAAAATCCAAAACATAGAGGTTGTTGCCCTAGCCATGTAAAGACCAATTACCCATTTGGTGAAGAGTAGAGAATTGAGTTGTAGTTGAATTTAAAAGACTGGACATGTAAAGACCAATTACCCATTTGGTGAAGAGTAGAGAATTGAGTTGTAGTTGAATTTAAAAGACTGGACATGTAAAGACCAATTACCCATTTGGTGAAGAGTAGAGAATTGAGTTGTAGTTGAATTTAAAAGACTGGATGTCTTCCTTTTTCTCACCCTTCTTGCTCCGTACCATTGTTCCCCTGTTTTCTTCCAATCTTGCCCTTCTTCCATCTTTATGTAACAAAAGTCCTACTGCAAGTATGACTCAGCAGATCCTTAGTCATGCTCCTTTTCTCAGATTATGAATGGGAATATGCTACATAAACAAGTATGTCAGCAGGGCTATAACACTGGTTCTGGAGTGGATGTTGTAGGGCTCCTTGGTTTCATTCCACAAGCAATGCAGCCCCCATGCTGCTTCTCCTCAATGGAAACTCATGTTGACTACAGGAAAGTTAATCTGAGTTGTAGAATGCAGCATGTAGAAGATTTCACAGCATGCACTGTTAACTCAGAGCACTTTCTGGATCAGGGTTCAGACATAATAACAATCAGTATAAATATTCCAACTATAGTGCTGCTATCCCATGCAGGAGCTGGCACAAAATTAACATGTAGTTCAGCACAGCTGCATTTATTGGTGAAAGGACTTCCAAATAATGCAGAGTGAGATTATAAATAAAATGGTCCAGGTCAGTTTGTAGTGTGCAGACACTATTTTATACGTATAATACTCTAGCCTTATTCTCATCTCTAATGGAAACATGAAGACATGAAGCAATGGAACTAGACTGCCAATGACAGTGATGTAACTGTAGCTTAAATTACATTGCTTCTGTATTCTGTAGGAAGGATGAGAATTAGAATATAATTGAAATTAAATTGAGACATAGAACCTGTTATTTGTCAAATAAAAATGACTCGCTCTGCTTTGCGCACCATTAAAACTTTTTACTACTGAAAATTGGATTCACTACCCAGAATTGTTCCTGTGATTTTCCACTAGACTTATAATTATCTTACAGAACACAAATGAAAAAAAAAAAAAGAAAACTCATTTTTACAATTTCCTACCCAACATGCAGAATTCTGTCCAGCGTTGCTCAACAACTAACACTTGTAGATTGGTCCTACTGTAGAAGCTCGTTTAGTTCAGATCCCATTGTGTTATGTCATTACAAAAACAAAGTTGGTAAATTGTCCAGTAGCATCTCTTCAATCTCCTATGATCCCCTGGCTCAGTCTAACAGCTTACAGCAAGGATGGAGGTTTGCACCACTGTGGATTGCATGGCTTACCAGTTAGTGAGGTGCATATGTATCATACCAGTTAGCACATCCATATGCACACCCAAAACTTCCCCAGTCATGTTCCTCTTCAACTGGAGAAGTTCTCTTCCTAATAATCCCAGATAATCAGTCAGATTATCACTGAGTAGTCAAGGAACGTGCTTTTTACTGTGAAAAACAGCTTCCATAATATCATAGTACTGATATGCACCCAATCTAGTAAGCTGATGGGGAGTTAGTAGACAGCCTTAGTAGCAGCAATCATGGTGTGAAAGAAGGAACTACTGAGTGCCACTTTTAACCAACAATTACTGTGTTGCCTAGCCATGGCTTATCAATTAGAGCGCTCAATATTTGTTTGTATATTGGGGGAGGGGGAGGTAGCGGTTATTTGTAAGTGTGATTTGTCCTTAAAAAGAATCTACAATTTGAATTCCACATGAATGTATCAATTTTTCCAGCTGAATCAATACACATTTAAAAATACAAGGCAAAATCCCAACAGCATGAAGAGGCTATGCAGCTGTTTTTCATGGCATCCCTTTATGTATTGTATTTCCAAAATGGTGCTTTCTGCATTTATTGTTCCTTCAGATAATATTGGAAGATTTTTTGGTTTATTCAAAAAATCATTTGAGTAATCATTTAAGAATAATAGCAACAGAAGCAGAATAGAAAAGCAAATAGTTCCTTTCTCTGCATCCAGCTATCTACGGCCTATGACTTGTGCACAAAATATCAACTGATGTTTTTATTCATACTATTTTTGTTCATGCCATTAAGAAATAAATGTATAACTGAAAGGTGAAAGGCTTGCAGTCTGAGAGCTTTTGGTAACCTGTAACGTCTTAGGGCATGTTAAATGTTTAACTTAAGTAGCTCAGTTTTTATCCACGCAGTTGAGCTTCTGTCCACTTTCATTTTCTAACGGTGCATGCTATGACATTATTAAACTCTATTTCTGATATGTATTTCCTTCACCTCTATGTAAAACTGTACTCTGATGATTTTTGCTGTTCTTTCAGGAAAAAATGTTATTACACTGACTGGAGGAGCAAAACCATGGGCAGGTTGGTGGGTGATGCATAGCTTTTAATTTTGCCAGATAGTCATCCTGCATATGATAAATCCATTCTAGCAGTTGTAAATTTATCCCACAGGGCCTTGAGAAAGTTGATTGAATCATGGAGGCAGTAGAACTTTGCTGTTTATTTATTTTCTGCTTTAAGTATGTGACTGACCTCACCAGAAACAAGATAGCCCAATGATTATGTTTTATCAGTAAATAAAACAGTGGGGTTCCAAATAAGAGGGATATGAAAAAAATGGATCTTAAAAGCTCTGAGCAGAAAGAAGATTGTAGAAAATAAGTCTTTTATTGGTTCCTTTTCCTGTAGTACTAAGTCTTCCCAAGAACATTTATCTTCAGGATCCTGGGGAAACTCTAATTTGTATAAGCAGATTTCCATCCAATGTTAGCCATTTCCC